GGTCCAAGCAATAACTACAATCAAATGCTGCAAAAAAAAATTGTAATCCTTTTTTATGTTAAATTCTTCCCCCATAGACTCTATCAAATAATCACTTCATTATGATCATTTCACATAATAGTAAAAATCCTGATCTCACACTAACCAGGAATGAACATGCAAAGAGTTTGCCTTTCTGATGTATATCTCTTCCACATCTAACCTATGAGCAGAACCACACAAAAAGGCAGAATGAGACCTATGTGTGCTTCGACAGATGCTCAAAAGTCCAGGTGTGTTTAGTCATTCGAACTAATCATCTCTGAGCTTGGTAATAAATATGAATCCTTAGAGATACTGATTCAGGGCCCAGGAATTTTTAGTTTCAAAACTTGCCCAAGGGTATTCTGATGTAGAACCAAGTGAGGAAACTGCCATAAAATGCATGGGTGTCCTGCACTACTCCCCAGTCTTACTGTATGTACATTGTTGATTCCTGCAGTTGAAAGACTTAAAATAGCTCCTATCTCAGATTCTAAGTTGAAGGCCTCTGGCTTCCACCAAAGCAAATTCCACAAACTTGTCCTCATCTCTAGCAATCTCAAGAGCCCCTCAAAATCTCTAACTTCCTACTAAATGAGTTTTCAAAGTAAGCTTGGCATTGGGCTGAAGGAATCCTCGGACATTGTAGTGCTGGGGTAAAGTGAACAACACTGCAAGTTACCCACCCTAGTGGAGGCTATTCTCCAATGGGAAGACACAGGGGAGAAATAGGCATGAAAATAAATCATCTAAGTAATTTCTGATAATGGTAAGTCGTGTGAAAAAGGTGTAAGACAAAACAATGTGATTTGTCTTAAAAATGATCATAAGTTGATCTTGAAAATCCTTATTTTTCAGGCAAGTTTTGAGTTTTTGTTTCCTTGAGTTGGTCTTCAATTTTTAAAAATAATTATATGTGCAAATTATTTTCCTTTGCTGAACATTATTAAAAGTGGTTCTTACTATCAAAGCATGATTTTAGAACTCTGTGGCTGTTCTGTGGTTAAGTCTGTGATAATATGACAATTATACAAATAACTGGATTATAGGCTATTTGTTTTCCATGCCTGGTTTGCATTAATTGCTCTTTGCTGTTTTATGTCATCAAGCCAAGATCCAATAATTGCAGTCATCTTGTAAATCATTGAGATCTCTTATCACAAAGTTATTATAAGTTAGAAAAAGAGCTCAATTTTCTGATTTTACAAAACTATATTAATGATAACGTACTTCTATGTTCCAACTAAAATTAATATTATAATATTTTCATGGTCTAGAACCTATTTGTTTATTTTTTCTGGCTACCCAATTATGCTATGTTGTCAATTGCTAAAATCTTTTAATTCCTAAACTGCATTCTATAACCTGAATGGATGTCCTGGTATTTATGTCACTGACCTGGAGAAATAAAAAGTAATTATCATGAGTTTTCAGCTATGGACAGCAATTGAAATGAAAGAGCCTATAACTCCAGGGACTCAGGAGGCTAACACTGGAGGGATCACAAATTCAAGTTCATTCTCAGCAACTTAGTGAGGCCCTAAGCAACTCAGTGAGACCCTGTATCAAAAAAATTAAAAGGACTGTGGATGTGACTCAGTGGGACCACGGGCTAAATCCCTGATTCAAAATAAAAAGAGAGAGAGACAGACAGACAGACGCACACACACACAGCACACACCAAGGGGGCTGTATAGGAAGGGATGCTTTAAAATGTCTTGAGAATACCTTCCATCTCATATTCCCTCCAACCACAAGCAGTAGAATACCATTCTTTCTGAGATCTGGACATTTTATATGTGTCTCTCTTGAAATGCCAGTGGACATAACCTTTATCAGTTTCTTATCAAATTCCAGGAACCCTTCTAAGCTGGTTACTATATTAGCTCATTAAATCCTCACAGATAGCCTAGTAAGGTAAGACCCCAATATCACCCCATTTTATAAAATAAATATATTGCAGCTTAGAGAAAAGATCATCACTTAGTAAGTGGTGCACAGGGATTGGAAGCTGAATGATCTGGTTTCAGAGTCCAGGTCTAAATACTACATCATACTGCCTCAAAGATTTTGATAGAACCATTTTCACTTGTGAATATTTTAATAGTAGCGTAAAATGTGATTATTCAGCCAAAAGCCATGATAAATATTACAAATAATGTTTGAAGCCTGTGTCTCACTTTGTCACCTGGTTTCATAGTTTCTTTGAGCCTTGCGCCCTAAATTGGCCCTCATCCCTATTATAGGGATCCACTGTAGGAAGAGGTTCAGTGGCAAGACAGGCCAGAGCAGTCTGAGAAAGTGACTACTTCATGCTTTTCTTCCTGGAAGGTCCTTCCTTCTCACTCTTAACTTACTGGAGGACATGGGGRAAAAAAAAAAAAAAGGTTTCTAGCCAAACACCTTCTTTCTTTTGTAATTTTTAGTTTGAAACATACACAACTGATATCAAAATTCCCACAGCTTGAGAGAAATCGGTGCTTGTGTTAAGTAAACTGTACCAATTTATCCTTTTAAAGAATAAACCACATGAGCTATATTATTATTTGTTAGCTAATAAGGTTTAGTTTTATCTCTTTAAAAATCATAGAAAAAGGTAACCTAATGCAGTTTTTAAAAATAGATATTTGTTGTTTTTACTTTAAGTTTTAAGATTTTTTTTTTCTTTTTGTTTTTGTAACTCCAAATGTAGTGATGAAAGTCTCCTCCAGAGGGGGCACTGGCATTTATGCCTGGCAAATTTTGAATCATAATGCTCTTTATACTGTCCCCTTACTTAGGATATGACAAGAAAAGACTTGATGTATTGTATCTCAGAAATCGTATTCCTCACTGTCCTTCAGGATAAGGATCCATTTGCAAAATACTCAACTCTAAGAATAAAACAAATGTATACATTTATAAATATAATCTTCTAACCTGTGATATTATTTTTTTAGTTGTAGTTGGACACAGTACCTTTATTTTATTTATTTTTAATGTGGTGCTGAGGATCTGAACCCAGTGCCTCGCATGTGCTAGGCGTGTGTTCTACCACTGAGCCCCAGCCCCAGCCCTGCGATATTATTTTTAAAAGGGAAGAATATATTTCTAATATTTCTACAGTGTACCTCATGCTCAAGGAAGGGAAGAAGCAATGTGATTGTTATCCACAAAAGGGGTTCATTAGTAGTTACAACTTATGTTTTAGTGGACTAAGATTTTGAAGAAACACACTCAAAAATAGAGCCCACCTGTACCTGTTGCAGGCTTAGAGAGTTGTGGTCCTTATTAGCTGTTCCTAAGTGGTAAAAACAGGAATTTGCACATTTTATTTCATTTACTGTTTTACGGTTGTTTCAACCATGGACTCTTTGGGCTCATTCTTATTACTGTCCACTTCTATCAGGCAAAAAAAAAAAAATGAGGTTAAAATATTTTAGTGACTTTCTTCTGATCGTAGTATCTAAGATATCATTCTTTGGCTTTCTGATTTCTTATTTGCTAATACGTTCAGCCATGAGCCTCTTGGTGTTGCATAAACCACCACATCATGTTCATCATTCATACATAAAATATTATGTGTATTATATATATATATATATATATATATATATATATAATGCACATATTGAAGATGTTACACTGTGATGGTTGAAAAGAAAAGCTTTGAATGAAATAAATCTAAATTTAGGCACTGGATCATACACTATTTTTTAATTTTTTATTTGTTTTAATTAGCTATCATGACAGTAGAATGCACTTATAAACTTTGATATATCATACATAGATGGGATATAATTTCTCATTTTTCTGAGTATACATATTGTAGAATCACATTGGTCATACAGACACATACGTACATAAAGTAATAATGTCTGTTTGATTCTACTATCTTTCTTATCACCACATCCCCTGCCTTCCCCTCCTTTCACTTGGATCGTTCATTTTTAATACTCATATTGCCAAGCTACATAATCTTTCTAAGGTACACTGTTTTCTCAGTTGTAATATTATTATAATATTGATTTTTGAAGGCTCTGAAAGTAGCAAATGAAATAATAAGTCCTAAGTAAATGATTTTAAAAAGGAGAGACTAAATGTTCTTTCAAGAATTTGTGTTTAAAAGAGGTAAGAAATTATGGGGCTGGGGATGTGGCTCAAGCAGTAGTGCGCTTGCCTGGCATGCGTGCGGCCCGGGTTCAATCCTCAGCATCACATACAAACAAAGATGTTGTGTCCGCCGAAAACAAACAAACAAACAAACAAAAAAAATATATATATATATATATATATATATTAAAAAAAGAGGTAAGAAATTAAAGAAGTATCAATTCCCACTATTTTTTGTACTGTGTTTAATATTTTCTAATACACAATTTGCCTTTATATAAACATCTGATAGTAGGATATGTTTTATAAAAATACTATTTTATAACTTGGGTTTAATGCTTTTTTCTTAGTTATGCATAAAATAATGTATGTTGTAATTGATTACATTTTATATTCAAAAAATATTGATTTTATGATACATTTCAAGATCTTCTTTTCTTTAAGAGGCAGTGTGTACTAGCTATGCAGTCAGACCTCATTTTCAGATTATGCCAAATTCTCAAACATTTTTCTCCATCTCTTAATTGCATATGAAAACATATCCCATGACGTTGTTGAATTGAACTAGAAAATGTTAATGAAGTTCTTGACAGTGTTTATATAAAATTTTTAAATGCATAACAGTAATAGTTATTATTATTATTATACATATTTTTCCAGTTAATTTATAAAATAGTAGACTTCAATGGTAGAGCCAGGATTGCCACTAACTAACTTGTGAATCTTGAACAATGTACTTAGCTTTTCTGTCTCATTCTCCTGTTCTGCAAAATAATGTTTTGGCTTAAAAATTAGCTGTAAGTTAATTATGGATCTACAATTTTATGATCTAATTCTGATTCGTAACCTAATATGACCATAAACTAAATATTACTTCTGTCTTTCAGTTTGTGGGGACATCCATGGACAATTCTTTGATTTGATGAAGCTCTTTGAAGTGGGAGGATCTCCTGCCAACACTCGCTACCTCTTTTTGGGGGACTATGTTGACAGAGGGTACTTCAGTATTGAAGTAAGTCCATGGCACTTCTTTTTTATTTTTATTATTAATATTTTAAATTTATATATATCCCCGGAATTCATTACAATTCTTATTCTACATATAGAGCACAAATTTTTTATATCTCTGGTTGTATATTCACACACAAAGTATATTCACACCAATTCATGTCTTCATACATGCACTTTGGATAATAATGTCCATCACATTCCACCATCATTTCTAACTCCATGCCCCCTCCCTTCTCCCCCCTCCCTTCTCCTCCCACCTCTCTACCCTATCTAGAGTTCGTCTATTCATCTTCTGCTCCCCCTTCCTACCCCACTATGAATCAGCCTCCTTATATCAGAGAAGACATTCAGAATTTCATTTTGGGGTTTGTCTAACTTCACTTAGCATTATCTTCTCTAACTCCATTCATTTACCTGCAAACACCATGATTTTATTCTCTTTTACTGCTGAGCAATATTCCACTGTGTATATATGCCACAAGGGCTAGGGATATAGCTCAGTTGGTATGCACAAGGCCCTGAGTTCAATCCCCAGCACCACAAAAAAATAAAGAAATGTCATTTCTTTTTAGCCACTCAGTCATGGTCCAAGAATATCTTTATGAAATAAGAGCAATAATTGTAGTTGCCTTATAGAAATTTCTAGTCTACAACAAAGAAATTTTAGTACACTTAGTGGATAGAACATTACAAATCCTACTTTCAGTTAACACCCCCATGTGCATTTTTTTTTATGTCCTGCTGAGGATTGAACCCAGGGCCTTGCACATGCAAGGCAAGCACTCTATCGCTGAGCCATAACCCCAGCCCCCCCTTCATGTGCTTTTTAATGTTAAAAATACTGATTAGGAATAAGGTTTTGCCTTTTGTACATTTTTATAGTTGGAAATTTGAAAAAAAAAATTACCTTACTTTACAGTAGATAATTCTATTTCCCATTAAAAGAACTAATCAAAGTTGGTAAACAAGAGTTGTATTAGCATGTTTATGGCTTATAACTGAGAGACAGTGTTACCTTTGTAAATCGGTAACAAAGTGCATACCTGTCTGTGCTTGGAATGTGTATTTGTGTGCATATGTGAGAATGCTCTATTTTGTCTTTCTTGGCACTTGTCATCTGACTACAGTAATTTGTCAAACTAATTAAATAAAACAAAACAGATAACCTTTGAGCAGAAGTTCTTCTTCAGCCTCCCATCTGCATCTGCTTTACATGCACAGAAATGACATTAAAAATAAAGGCAAAGAGTACCTCGTTTCTTTAATGTTTGTTCTTCCTAGTACCCTAAGATGGTGTCTCATACACAGTGAAACCTCAACAAATGGTTATTGAAAGAAATGGTTTGATATATAAATATAGCTTTAAAGATCAGAGTATACTAAATGACATTATGTGTCCTTAAAAAAATAGTAAAAAAGAAAACATCTATTCCAAGAAATAAATCAACTGTGTGGAGGCCTCACAAACATCATATATTCACAATCATATAAAAATGATTCTGTTTTTAAAATTTTATTATCACATTGATTTACTGAACAAGTATTTAATGTTGAAAAACATCACCCTCAAACAGCTTCTACTTTAAAATCATAGCAATTGTTTCTTGATTATTTGATTAACCTAATAATTAATTCTCATTAATTCTCTTTATGTCCATCACCATTAGGTGTAGAAATATATATGTATAGACACACATATATGTACATATGTAAAAAATGCATACATTGTATTGGAAGTAGGAAGAATATAGAGGAATGTGGCATATATCCTTTATCTCTACAAACATAAATCTATACAGGAATATGTATGTACAAAAATCTATATAGAATCCAAAGCCTAGAATAGGTCATCATTCATGGTTCAGTTATTTGAATGGGTTATTAAAAATTTTATGATAAAGGAGGAACAGAAAATAAGTATTGTTAGGATATAGAAAAATTAGAGAATAATGGGAATGCAGCTCACTGAGGAACTGAATCAGAGAACAAGTAAGATTTTAGCTGGCAGGGAGATTGAGGTGAGCAAAATTCAGAGAAAACCTAAGTTAACCTCATAAGTCTTGGTCATGTTCTTGGGCTACTTGATCAATATAACCAGTAGGGAAGGGCAATTAAGTACAAATTTTGTAAAACTTTTATCTCACATTAAGGTAAATATCTTCAAGGAGAGACAACAACAAAAACAAAACAAAGCCCCCACCAAATGGTCATTTGAACAATATAGAAGTCTATTTCTCTAGGAGAAGCCCATATGGACACACCAGGACTTGTGCTATCCCCCATAGTTCCCTGGACCCAGCCTCTTTCTGCCTTGTTTCCCTGATGTTCATGTCCTCATTTCAAAGTAAACCTCTGTGACCGAAGACAGCTAGAGTAGCTTCAATTCTTCTGTCTCTACAGTACATTCAGCAAGAATAAAAAGAAAATACGAGAAGGGTTTTCAGTCTTGTTTAAGGATGTTTCCCTAAAGTGGCACATATACCTCAACTTGTTTCTGATGGATAGGAATTTGCTGATATGACCACTGGTGATTCCAGGTTTGAGGGAAACAGTGAGACACACAAAAGAGCAAGGAGAGATTAAGGTTTCTGCCATTCCCCTTCAAATAGGGCTTCATAGAATATAAGTAAATAGTAAAATAATAAAAAAGATTTTAGTAGTTCTTAAAGTAATCTTACTAATTTAATATTTATATTGCTTCTAAGAAAGATTCCAAAGATAAATGAAATAGGTGGTCCGCATATTTCAAAGCTCACCTTCTAAGTGAGGAAATCCTGACACTCTTCTCTTAGGAGTGACTATTTTTATCAGTCAAATGATAGAATACTATTCTGGAACTTTTTTTTTTCTTTATTACGGATTAAACCTAGGGGTGCTCTAGCACTGAACTATAGCCCCAGCCTGTTTTATTTTTTTATTTTGAGACAGGGTCTTGCTAAGTTGCACAGGCTGGCCTGGAACATTGAATTCTCCTGCCTTAGCCTCCCAAGTGTCTACAGGTGTGTGCCATGGTGCCTGGCTGAAAAAATTTTTATTATCATAGTATTTGTGGATTTTAACACCTTCGTTTGTATCTTTTTTAAATATAAAAATTACAATAAGGTTTCTTACTAAATTGGTAATAAAGAAAAAGCACTAAATCTTGTGTTGCTTGAATAACAGCACAACTGGACTTTCTTATCTCATCAACTGTCTTTGGATTTTAATATTTCTTAACTTTCATGGATCTCTATTTACCTTTGACTTTTTTTTTTAATTGAAAAATGTAGGGTTCTGAATCTCTGGCCTCAAACCACTTGAAATGTCCTAAGCTTTTCTTAATTAAAGCTTTTTTTAGCTCTGTTTTGTGTTTGTTTGTTTTTTAATTTGAAAAGCAATAATCATTAACTTGTTTCCTCAGTAGATTAGTCTACAGTTAATATAGATATTTGAATCACAAAAGTATTTGCAATATTTTGTGTAGTGCGTTTCTTTTAATATTCAAACAAAAGATCAAGAGATTAAACAAAAGTTAGTGACATATAAAATGGAGAAATCAGGACATTTAAGTTCTGAGATGCATATACTAGAGCCTCCATCATCAAACACTTCTTTAATTAAACTCCAAGGGTCTGAGAGTACAGCCCAAGGGACTTGCTACATACACACACAAAATGACAAAATGTATCAAAGTAAAATGATCCTTGTTGATTAGATGTGACTTTTGAGGGCACGTAAGAATGGTGCAATGATATCAACATCATATTAAAATAGAACAGACATTTATATAAAGTATACTTACCAAAAATACTTCAGGGATATTTATTGTGGATTAAGGAAGCTGACACTGTTCACAGGCTATAAATGCTGCTGTTTTCATGGTGTAAATTATCTCATTTATTCCTCAAGTTTTGAAAGTTACATGTGAATGCCTTTTGAAAATTACATGTAAATGCCTAAACTCCTTTCAGAAGTGTCCTCAACTGAGGTTTAGAAAGGGCCATACATACGGTAAATGCCAATGCTAAGATTCAAAACCTGTCCTCTTTCTACTATCCTACACCCTGGTCATAACATATTCACTGGATGTACCACAGTGTAACACAAAAAATGCACACATCAGTAATGCAGAAAGGGATATACATTGTTGCACTTACTCATGAATGTACTAACATTCACACATATATAATCTGAAGGGCAAAGCATTAAATAGAAAATATTCTCTATGAGAATGGTATTGTTGGTTTAAGAAAAATCCTAAAATAAGAGCTTAGTTTTACAGTGTGTGTTATCCTAACAGGTTTCAAAAGGTTCTTGATTCATCTCAATAATGTAGGGCTACACTGAAGACATTGTTTGGCTGTCTTTTGAGTAAAAAGGACCACTTTATTTAATTTTTACCAAATCAGCTTTGAAGGGTAGGTTCGAATTTCTAGTAGTTTCTGTTTGGTGTATTTACAGACTGGATGGAGATAATATACTCTGAGGAGCACATGTAGCTCATTTTATGTGTTCTCCCCCTGCCTCCCCAATTTTCTCTCTTTGCCAAGATTAGAAATCATTTCCCACAAAGTTAGCCCCCAAACAAGCAAGCTTTTGAGTAGTGATGAAAGAGGTAATTTTGTTTTGAGTAATAATTTGCCTTACATCAAATATTCCTCTTTTTGATGATTGCATTACACCACCTAATCTCTTTGATCAAGCATATGTGTATATATAGGTCCACCGGCTGAGTGTGTTTCTCTGAGAACACAGGGAAAAATTCAGAATTGCAAACAGAGACACACACAGCTGTTTCCTTCCCTGTCATTCATTAGACTCTCTTTCTATGCCTTATGGGATACAGTGCTTTGGGCTTTGCAGCAAAAGCTGGCCCTGCCTGTTCCACTTACATTCAGATCCTAACCCAGGTCTCAAGCATATTTAAGGGTGAAAAGTTATCCTATTTATTAACTGTGAACTCATAAACTAGAGTGATCCTCAGCAAGCCAGGCAATGCTCCGCGTTTCTGCCTGAGAATAACGAGCAAGCAGCACAACAGAGGATGTTAGGTGACAGAGTGTTGCCACAGACATGAGGAAGAAATGTTCTGGCTGTCTCATCTTATGAGGCATTGCTGTTCCCCTGGTACCCCTGGTACTTCTCTCTATGCATGTCAGACCAGGCAACTGATGCCTTAGAGAAGCTCACTTAACATTTCATGAGTTTGGATCTTGTCCCAAACAATGCACATCTTTGGATTCATTATTGTCCAGTGATGGAGGGGGAGCACTTTTGATTGGAACATTTCACAGCTCAGATAATAAATGAGTTGAGGGAGCTGATTAATATACAGCTAAAGCTGTGTGTTTTCTTTTTTATCTTCTTGTTTCCTCCTTCACATTTCCCTTTTCTGTCCTATGCAATTTTTTTTAAGAATAATGTTAAAAAGCATAAATTACAAAGCAAACCATTGCAGTGTTATTTGTCAAAGCAACAACTTGATGAAGAAAATGATATCCTTAGTATTGCTTTGTTGGAGAAAATACAGAATTAGGAGAAAGTGATGTCTGTGACAGAAAAATAATCCAAAGATAAGGGATGCTTCATCTTCCATATTGAGTGACTCAGTCTACTTTAAATTGTAAATATTTGTTTAATTAAGGGTAAGAATGAAAAGACTCAGTTCAGTTGATATGACTGGTACAACTCATTTACATCTCACTGTGTAGAAAAGCTAGCTAACATTGTGCTGTTTCTACCTGAGCAATTAATTCAGTGAAAATTGTGTTCAGTTTACCATCTGATACCACAAGGACAAAAATAACCATGATTTAACTAATTTTTATTTATCTTCATTGATTATGATAATTTCCTTTTACAAGAGACTGTAGTTCTTTCTTATTTTTTTCTTTCAAAAACTAATGTGCAGAATATTGGAACTTTAAATGGCAAAACAGTTGCTAGCCAGACAGTGTTGTGCTTGGCAGCTCTGTCCACCAGATGTGGAGGGCAAGGGCTGGCAGGGCTCCACTCCCCAGTCCACCCTTGCCCTTTCATTTGCCATGCTTTTTCTTCCATATTGCTGCATTTGTGGTTTAAGTCAGTGTTTGGGAAGACACTTTATTCTTGCCACAGAGAAGGTGGAAATGAAATGTGAAAAGAGAACTTTCATTTTTGGAATATTTAAAGCCAACCATTTGGAAATTGAGTTATTATCCTTTTTTTTTCTTGCTTTCTTACTTTCTCTTTCCTTTATTCTTTCCTCCCTCTCCTTATTCTTCTTCCTTCCGTCCTTTTCATTTGCAGAAATAGAGCCAGCATTTCTTGATTTCCTACCATAGGTACTGTGCATTCATTAAATAATAAGGGAAATTAAATGTGTATTGCATCACTGGAAAGCCGTAAACAGACATGATTAAGAATATTTAGCAGAGCAATTTTGTACCTCTCTTTGCTCAATTAGGAAAGTGCTTCAGTAAGAAGTAATTACGACTAGAGGTGATAAAGTTATAAAGCCACATGCTAATGTCAAAACAAGATCTTTAACAGATGGCCCAAAAGAAAATGTGGGTTCTAAAATGTGATTTCTCTAGAGTATTAGAGTTTAAAAAAAAATGTAGTTAAGATTTAAAATGAAGAGATTAAAGCTTTGCTTTAAGATAACTTGTTACAGGCAAAACTAATCTAAAGGTCAAATTTTAGATTACATGTTCAGAAGATACTGACTGGAAAGAGGCACACAGGAACCTTCTGGGTCATCATAATCCTTCTCGTACTGTTAGGCAGTATATTTTCTTTCTAGCGTACTTTGATTTAGGCCTCTTCCTCTTTCCCTGTGTTTCTACATACCCCTCCCTCACTTCCCACAGGCCACATGAGTTTCTTTCTGTTGACCTGCTCACCCTGTTGTTTCCTGTGGCCTGTGATCCTCGGTGCATATGTATTTCAAGCACAGGTGAACCTTGGCTTTGTACCAGCTGGGTGTTTGTTATGATTGTCAGTATCCTTCCTAATAAAATCTAGGCTGCGGATCTTTGATCATGAGAATACATTTGATTCATGTCTTCCTGATATGTAAGCAATGGAATGAATAAGTATAATGAAAAATGTTGATGTTCATGTTATTTTTTATTTTTCTCAGTGTGTGCTGTATTTGTGGGCCTTGAAAATTCTTTACCCCAAAACACTGTTTTTACTTCGTGGAAACCATGAATGTAGACATCTAACAGAGTATTTCACATTTAAACAAGAATGTAAGTATACTTTAAGCTTCTTCCTTTAATACTATATGTAGTAAATTGTCATTTTAATCAGTCACTAAGATCACATTATAATATGATCCATTGCCTAACAGTCAAAAATTTCAAGTAACACTGTTTCATGTTATTGCCCATTTCTTTCTAAGCTTGAACAGTTATAGGAATTCAAAATTTATTTTCAAGTTAAAAAATTCTTCAATTTAATATTTCAGATTATTAATTTTTCAGATTATTAATTCTTCAGATTAATATTTGAGTATATTTGAGAATTCAAATTGATATTTGGTATAGTTGATCTTAAGAGGCAAGTAAGTTTCCTTTTTAAACCAGTTAAGTGTACTACTGTTTGAGACAGTAATTCTACCCTTAAATCTCACATCACTCAAGAAAAGCAAATGGAGGTCAGACAGAACCTCGTTCCTCTATTTTTGAATCTGATGTATACTAACCTCTGTTCTACTTTACAAAATTAAAGAGGTGGCTTTCTTCTTTAGATATCAAGACTAGGAGCATGTAGTACACCACGTAATTTCATTTTCTTCCTCTCAATTTTCCCCATTTTCCACTGAAGCCTCAATTTCTGTCATGTGTTCATGTATTCAATGGAGCATGAAGACTTCTCTCAAAACATTAGATACAAATCAATAGGGGAAAGGCAATATGCAGTGAGTGAGATATGAACAACTTTAGAAAACTTCTTGCCATCGGCTTTTCTATAAAATCATTCAGGAATATCAGCCAGTTTTATGGCCATCATTCTTTTGATCTCCAGTTAAGTGTGTATTTTTGTGGTGATAGGTCTACAGATAATTAGCCAGAATATATGTAAAAAGTCTCTTCTTTGCTATAAAAAAGTCTTAAAAATTATAAAATATGCTTGAGTGATAAAAATATAAAATACCATATTAAGATTAACATATAAATCTTTAAAAGTTGTGTTTGATTCTGTTTCAAAATTTTGCAAAGTGTAATTTTATGCTTGTCATGTCATATTGGCAAGAAAATGTTAAAAAGAAACAAAACTATTTCAATGCATTGATACTAATGATGAAACCATGAGAGTAAACATTTGCTTTTTACCATGTTTGAAAGGTAAAATAAAGTACTCGGAGCGTGTGTATGACGCCTGCATGGATGCCTTCGACTGCCTTCCCCTGGCTGCCCTGATGAACCAGCAGTTCCTGTGTGTACATGGCGGTTTGTCTCCAGAGATCAACACTCTAGACGACATCAGAAAAGTAAGTTCTTTTATTTTCCAAATGTGATACTTTTCTGTGCTTCTGTAATAAATAAAGGTATCACTTTCCCTACATTCATCACTAATTTTATCTTTTTGAATTAAAATGATTGAAGGTAGTCATCAGTCTCCTCTTTGTATTAAAGTTTTGTTCTTAGAAGGAAGTTATATTTGTACCTAGAAGATTTTTCATCTCTAAATCCTCAGGGTTTCTCTGTCCATGTGGCATGTATCATTAGAAATATAAAACATTCTCCTTTAGATTTTTTCAAACAATCATTGGATATTCATGATATATTAGGCTAGAAATAGTGCTTTGTCTTTGGGAAAATATCACAAAGTTGGCCTTTAAAATGTATCCATCTCTACTCTTTGTTACTATATTGTAACAGACTAACAAAGGCAAAGATAATTTTCTGTTAATTGTATTGAAAGCTAGCTATGAGAAAAAAAATGAACTTTTAAGAAGTTTTTTTAAAAAAAAAAAACTTAATTTAGCATTGTCTATTACTATTGTTTTATCCAGAAAGGAAGATTATTTATATTGAATGTGGACGCATGCTATGTTTATTTCATGAGAAAATGTAGTAATATAACATAGTTTTACATAGCATAAGAATCTCTCTTTTATTTCTTTACTTAGCTTTTGAACATTATTTATTACAACAGTGTGAGAAAAAAATAATCAAAAAACTCCACACATGTTTCTTGATTCCCAAATCCCCAAAGACAGAAAGCAATATGTATCTTCTTATATTATCTTAAAATAATATTACCTGGAATTATTTTAAGGTATTTGTTTACTCTAATATATATGGCATTTTATATGTGATAAGAAGACTTTGTTCACTACCAAGCTTCCATTTAGGAAGTCTAAACTCAGATTTCTCTTCAAGAATTCTGAATATTTGACAACCATATCTATTGTCAAAACTTCCACCCTCTACTTTTAGAGACCTAAGAAACTTTCCTTGTACTTATATCAAAGGAGAAAAGAAAGGTGAAAATAATTCTAATTTTTTTTATTACTCTTCCCAGTAATTTTTGCCAGAATAATTTGGTCACATTTTTTTAAATCACTCTAACTGAATCAGGGATTTGCTGAGTTTTGTTATAAATATATGTGTAATTTAATATTTACTTGATTAAGCCTTATGTGTTATAAGTAGACTGTAGCTCAAACAAGTGAGGGCCTAATTTCAATGAGTAACAGAATTTTTTGCTTGAATATAGATTTACTTAAGATTGATAGTGGACACAACTCAAATTCCAACCCTTGCTTATTATTACTTAAGTGGTATTTGTACAAAGATCCCTTGGTGTCACTTGTTGGAATCATTGCCACTTAATTGTTTTTTACATTTCCCTGTGTTTGAAAATTTCAGTGCTTAATCTCAGAAATCTATATAATATTTATCAGTTAATTCCATCAATTGCCTTAATATTAAATTACTAAATAGTATTTTCCCATAGTGTTTAGTAGAGAAGGAAATCAAAGAGTCATGTAAGCTTTTCGCATGTTAGTGACCTTATAACCAGTTACTACAATAAGTACAGAATGAAAAATGGAATAGGTCAGAGTGTAAATAGCTGTAGTTGTTCTGTAATGGACTTCAGGGATGTGCATTTATGTTTTAGTTGAATTTATCCAGTTTTATTGACTTACTTGGATGAGAAACTTGCCAAGTATCCTAACAGGGAGGATGAGTGAAAAATTCACTCAATATATAGCCCTTTCATTATCTGAACATAGCTGATGTATAGATGTCTAAAGTTCTGTACCATAAAGAATAAATAAAAAAGATATGGCTATTGGGCTATTTTGTTAAAGATACAATCATGGGTAAAAATATAATCTACAAACCTCTACAACCCACACAAAAAAATCATTTCTACGTGATTCTCATTTGTTGTGTTTCTTGAGTAATTTTTCTTCATGAAACTCATGATGTTGAGGAAATAACTTATTAAATCATGAACATATTTAGATATCATAAATCTCCACTGCCAGGAACTCAGTATTCTTTAAAAAGCTTATTGATTTTTATAGAAAAATTATATTTAGGGTAGCAAAGCATACAATTTCTTTTCTATCAGGAGATTTGCATCCTTAAGGTTCAAGTGAGCAGGTGTTAAAATAGTGTTGTAGATAAATTGTAAATTATACCGGATTTACTTTCCTCCGAGAAAGGAATTACATGATTGTTATTTTTGAAATCAAACACGGGTACATTAAATAAACCTCTGTTTTGTACTTTACATGATTAATTTTTAAGAAACCATTACACATTTGCTTCTGGTCCTCTGAGCAATCTGTCTTTGCTTTCTATTTAAAGTGCTATCCAGATATGTTGTTGAAAGGTAATCATGGAGTTCGTGTGTAGAAAGTTCCTTTATATATGAAGTTAGCCAAATTCTTCTACAACCTGATGGACTCTTGAAATCAGTCACTAAAGGCTTCATGGTACATTGAATAGTTAAAAAAAAAAAAATACCTGCAATCCCCAGAATTTACTTTTTGCCGTATTTCAGATATTCTATACAATTTTATATATATCATCAGATTCTAAGCTTTGCCATAAAATGATTTTGAGGTTTGCATTTCACTATATGTCAGAGTTTTTACTACACTTAACTTTATTTCATTTTGTATTTACATATTTTAGTGTAGATGATGTGAACCTCTAGACTGACTTTATAATTTTTCCAGAGTAAATTCTATATTAGGGTTGCTTTCCCAACCTATGATTGGAAATTTATATTGGTCTAAAAACCTTCCCTCCTCCACTGTTCTACCTCTAGTAATAAATTCTTATTTCTCTGTAAGAAATTATGTATTTGCATGGACAAGCAATATTTTTCTTGGATGAATTGTTTCAAAGGCATAAGTTATTTAAATTTCTCAAACAAGTCTACATTTATAATGAACATGGCTCATATAATGGTTGAAATATAGAGGTGTCTTATTGAATGTTTTCATTGGTTGTTGAAAATGTGAAATATTTCCTTATTTTCTTTAGATAATATTAAACACCAGAATATAGAAAAACCATTACTTCATCATCTTGTATGTCCCAGGTGAAATAGAGAATTCCACTGCTTGTCAGCCTAATATTTCAGCTGTCTCTACTGGATTTTTCCAAATAGTCAAGTATTGACTCTGAAGTACATCCATTATTAATGGATTTTCATAATACTTTTATGCATTTTTCATTGCAATTAAATTATGATAAACTCAAGTAACAGTCTTATCATATTGTTGGTGGGCTGTTATTTCCAGTTATGTTGTTCATACTTCCTAAGTGCACCTTTTTAAATTGAAATATGACTTTGATAAACATTTATCACCAAAAAGTGGATTTTATATAAAGGATTTAGGTAAAACTGTAATGTTTAGAATGTAAGCTAAAGAATGACCTCAAAATTGTAGAATGATTTGATTCCTTATCATTTCTTTTATTTCCCCCTTCCATAGTTGTATGGAAGACTGTGCTTTTGTTAGACACCTAGCTGGGCCCTAATGAATTAATATCCATAATGTTATATAGCAAGTAGCTCCTCTTCAAGCATAAGCCTTCTGTTCCCAAAATCCTGTTGTTGATATAAAAATCTAATGGAGGAAATAGGAGGAATCTCCCAAAGATAATTAACACTTCTCCTTTCACAAATGAAACACAGATGGAGTCCCATTAATTGGCAGTGGCTAAAACACTCGGATAAATAAAATAAGTAAAGAGAGTTAAAGATTAAAAGAGGAGAGGAGAAAGGGAAAAAAGAAACTTTGGGGACTACTGAGGCAGGAGAAAGATAAAGATACTGATAAAGACCAAAAAGAAATAAGCTCATCTGGAGAAAGAAGGAAGGAGTCGGACTTGGCGATGAAGAGTAGCAAGATGGGAAGGAAAGAAGGAAAGCAGAGGAGAAGTGAGCAGTGGAGTTCACCTATTGGGGAGAGGCAGGTGGATGTGGTTTCCTCTGGTTTTTGAATTCCAAGTTTCCAAAGATTAGTATTTTGCTCTGTCTTCTATTTTTCTTAGTTAGACCGATTCAAAGAACCACCTGCTTATGGACCCATGTGTGATATCCTGTGGTCAGACCCCCTGGAGGATTTTGGAAATGAGAAGACTCAGGAACATTTCACTCACAACACAGTCAGGGGATGTTCATACTTCTACAGGTGAGGACCCAGGGCTTGCCGGTTGGGACAGGTTTGCCTCAAAAATGCTGGAATGTAGCAGCCATTGGATTCATTAATGACATTTGTGTAACTCCTTTAGGTAACCAGGATAAGCGAAAGGTTCACTTTGATAGTTTGGCTCAAATGGGTTCTTAGCATTCTCACAATGAAAATATAAATAAATGAGTGAATAAATTGATGTGAAATATATATATACACACATACATAAATACACAATTTCTGTGAAGAATAGAAAAGGCAGAAAAGATCATGTGATGTGAGAGTGGAGAGGCTGCTGAAGAAGATGGTAGGATAAGTAGAAAAACTCTTCTACTTCAAGAACTCCAGGGGAAAAAAATCCATGACCGACCTTGATTTTTCATTAAATATGCAATCACATTTAAAAATTTTTACCAGTTCTCATGACTTCAATCAGAAAAATAACTTTCTGTTGGTTAATTAAATTACATTTAAGCCATTTTTATATATATATATATACATACATATATATATATATACACATACATATACATACGTATACACACACACATATATACATATATTTTTTTAAGTTTGTCAAGCTTCCTGTATAAATTAAAATTAGTAGCTGGATAGGTACATAGGGAATTTATTTTTAGCACCTTGATAACCAAGTTAAAATATTTTTACATTTGCAGATCTCTGGGGATTTATTCATTCCATAATATTTCAGAACACTTTACAAAGAAATCTACCAAATAATTGGGTTTCTGCATGTGCTCACTGTTTTCTTGACATTTCACCCCAATTTTAGCTTAGTGTATCTGTCTGATCTTCAGTTTCACTAGGATCTCCTGTCTTAGATTTGTGGCTTACATGAAAGTTTAAAGAAGGAAACAGGTTATGAAAAGTTGAGAATTTAAATTCTAGAGTGTATCTATCTACCTACCCACTAACTAACTTACACTTTCTTTCCATCTGCTTTCTCTCCCTCTCCCTCCCTCCCTTTCTTCCTCCCTCCCTCCCTCCCTTCCTTCCTTCCTTCCTTCCTTCCTTCCTTCCTTCCTTCCTTCCTTCCCCTCTCTTACTCCCTCTCTCTTCCTCCCTCCTTGCCTCTCTCCTCCTTCCTCCTCTCTCTTTCTTTCTTTCCCTTTCTTCCTTCTCTACCTCCCTCCCTCCCTTCTTCCTTCCTTCCTTCCTCCTTCCCTCCCTTCCCCTTCCCCTTCCCCTTCCCTTTCCCTTCCCTTTTCCCCTTCTCCTCTCCCTCCCCCACCACTTTACTTTCTTTCTTTCTTTCCTAAAACCAAATCTGGCATTTCCCCAAAGTTAGGGCTGAATTACAGGCAGGCAGTTAAGGTAATTGCAGAGCTGGAAGAATTCTGTAAAACACATCCAGTTGCATACCTTCTATCTGTGAATTAAGCAGATATCCTTTGTATAACTTTGATCAGTCTTTTCCATGGTAGAACATTTTGTTTTACATTATTTATATTTATATATAAATATGTATAATTTTACTATGAGGGAAAAGTGTTGTTATTCTTCTGTTGATGTGATTGAGAAATTATAGGTTGTAGGTAGAAAATCATACACTGTGAAGGATTAAAAAAATCTTTTTTTATACATAGTAATAGAGAGGTTTATTCTAAACTTTTTTATCCAAAAGTTATAATCCACCTGTATGTTTTGAAAATTTGGGCACCAAGTCTAAGGAGCTATTTTGGACAAAATGAAGAAACATGTATAATATTTATGAAAAAATCCTGAAGATTCTTTGCAGTAATTAATTTAGGAATGATCCTTTATATAAGATGTTATTTCTAGAGGAAAGTTAAGTATGATTGAAGTATAAAAGCCAAGTGTTCAATTTTCCAAACCTGGTATTAAATCCCCAATCATACTAGATGTTTAAATTACCTGTATGATACCACTGAGTTGTTCTTTATTATCATAGTATCAAACAGAATACAAACTCTTGATTTTAATAGAATTCTATTCATTAATTCATAGTATGGCATACTGCCTTGAGTTTTCTGCATTAGCTATCCATCTAAATCATTCTGAACCAAGATCCATACTGAACTTACATAAAGTGCAGTATTTTTACTTTGTGAACATGTACTCAAAAATGTGTGTAGATGAGGAATAAAATCTATCAACTGGATAAGTTGAGAATTAAGCATGTTTTCAGATTTTATTCTCCACAAAATGATTAAATCATTTCATAGGAGGTTCTTTCAGATATTAATATTTTAGCCATAAAAAATTATTGTGAGGTTGAGTATTTAAATCTGCAGCTCACAGATTCCAACTATTTGCAGAAAAGTCTAGATTATGTTTTGTCTTAGAAAGATAAAAATGTCTTTCCTGTTCTCCTGGAGCTTTTTGGTCCTTTTGCCTTTAGCAACATCTTGAAGATATTGAGGCCTTTTCTAAGGTGATGGTTTCTACAGTTCATCTAGATGGACACAAGCAAGCCATGAAATTAGTAGAGAAACTTAGCAATAATTACCTGTTCAATTAATTGGAGTAATTTACATGCACCATGTCCAGATTTATTTTTCATGTTCATGTATAGTTTGCATATATAACTTAACATGCAACCCTATCGCTATCTAACATATTGTCTTGGTTATGATTGACGTTCAAACAAAAGTTATACAGAAAAATACATCAGAAGGAATTTTTTAATGCTGTCCATGAGACTTATTAGACAGGCAAAGTGATGGAGAGGAAAAAATCCATGGGAATTCTGTCTTTGCCCCCATGCTACATTTATTTTTATAATCTTAGAACAGAGTTTGCATACTCAAATGCCTATAATGTTCAAGCAGGTAATTGAGCTACTTGAGCAGGCCAAGTGTTAGACTGAAGATGACATAGGAGGTAAAGTATTCACTTTCTTATAAACAAAGGAATACTGTTGGCAGGATTTGGTGCTTAGGTTGTCAATTTGTAGCTCTGCCTTGAATGAATCATGTTAGCTTCTTGTTTTGAGTTTTCCTGCTTCAAAATGAGTGAGTTCAGTTCCTCTAAGCAGTGAGTCTTGAAGGACATATTAACAGACACTGTTAGTATTGAAGGCTGCAGTTACATCTCACTCTAATCACTTCTGATCTCTTGATCACAAATTTCCATCTCTTTACATGCTGCTTAATTTCTCTGCTGCTTAATTTCATTCCCTTCCCTTTTGAAATCCTTGGATTCCTCCTTCCTATTCCCAACTTATTTTCCTCGTATTTAGCAGCATGTGCTGCCTCTTTCTTTGTCTTCTTTATACTTTTTTTTTAAATTCACATTCTCTTCTAGGAACCTGGCTCACTTGCCCAGATCCACTGTAAACTCTAAACTCCATGGTTTGCTTATTTAATCTGTGTCTTGCCCTTCATCTCTTTATCTTCCTGGGCTCCAATCCCCTATGTCTATTTGTCTGATGCAATTCTCTGTCTAGGTGTTCCATTGTCCTTAACCTGCACTTAACTTGTTTGAAGGGGGTATATACTTCCCACTTGCTTAATCCCCATGGAGATGCCTCCTGGTTTTTTGGAGATTGTTTAGTTTTAATAGCATTTCATTATCCCTGTTACACAGACTAGCAGGTACATTTGCCTTTTCTTCTTATATTGAAATTAGCACCAATCAGTCATCATGTCTTATTAAAACTTTGTTTATAATATCACCAAAAACTAAACCATCCTGCCTTCTTTCCCTCCCATTCTAAGTTGAAAATTTGGGCAGTTTTAATCTGTTGAAGTCACACCAGTGCTCTCTGCTCCCAATTTTATCAGTATCCTCTCTTCCCCTTCCCTTCCTTATTTCTACACTTCCACTCATGGGCATCCTTTATGAGAATCCACTCACTTACTCAGTTATTTAACAAACATTGGCTGAGCACCTATCGTGTATGCCCTCTGCTAAGTTGTATAGATGCTCAGAGTCTCTGCCTTTAAGGGAATGATAGTCTAATAGCAGAGAGAAAAAAGCAAAAACAGACCAAGTGCAAGATACATAGTGCATCACAGGTGTGCAGGCCATTACACACATGCATGCAAATACGGAGTTAGGAGTCTTAACCCAAAGACATGGTGGACTAGGGCTTTAGGCCCATGTGTTACCAGAGTTTGAAAGGATGAAGAGAACATATCCATCCAGTCATGGAGGGGAGGCTCTTACAGGCAAGGAATGTGGGGGAGTTCTGCAGAAATGGCCACTTGAGGGGCTGGGATTGTGGCTCAGCCGTAGAACACTTGCCTAGCATGTGYGGGACCCGGGTTCAATCCTCAGCACCACATAAAAATAAAGGCATTGTGTTGTGTCCATCTACACCTAAAAAATAAATTAAAATTAAAAAAATGGCCACTTGAGTTGTTTTACTTCACTTCTATTCCCAAATTACATTTAGCTGCTTTGTTGTTCACTGAAGCTGAGCATTCATATGACTAAGCTATTCTATTTTTACACATAGTAAACATATGTACATATGTGTACCAAGTTACAGCATGAATAATAAACTTTAATATTTATATTAGACTGCACATAGCAACATGGATGAGTGGCACAAGTATAATTATGAGCAAAAGAGACCAGGTACTATTTATTAATCGTACATGTTATATGATTCCATCCAAATGAGCTCAGCATCTGAGAAAGCTAATCTATAATGTTAAAAGCCAGATACTTAGTAAGGAAATGATTATGAAGGAGCGGTGAGTTTCTTAGGTTCGGGTTATGTTCCCTGTCTTCATCTGAATATTAGTTACCAGGGTGTCCACTCTGTGGCAGGTTATCAAGTTGTAATCTTTTGATTTGTGCCCTTTTCTGTATTGGTTTTTTACTTCAATAAAAAGTTTGCCGTAGGGCTGCAGATGAAGCTGAGTGGTAGAGTGCTTACCCAGCAAACACGAACCCTAGATTGAATCCCTAACATCACAAAATAAAATAAAAAGTTTACCTTCAATAAAGATTGCTTGCCACTCCTGAGGCCGCCCGCAGCCAAGTATAAGCAAGGACTTAAGTTCTGCAGAAGCCTGGCAGGAAAAGTTGGAGCCCTAGTGGGTAAAATCAAATTAGTTGGAGAACCCTGGGGCAAAGAAGAAATACAGCAAGCACTAGAAAAAGATAGGCCTGACAGTGTCTTGGAAGACTCAGATCATCCAGGGCTGAGTGACCACCTACAATAGATATCAAGAAGCAGGTGAGAATGCAGTAGGGCTGGGACAGGTTGAGGGCACCTAGGAGGTGGAGGCTGCCAACGAGGTACCTTGGAAAGTGATTGCAGCCTTCCTGCCTCTGCTTTGCTGAAGCATCAGGCAGGAGAGAAACCCTTTGCACCTCTCACCTGCTTAAGTGCCTCCCTTGAGGCTACCTCCCCAACTCTACTTGAGCTCTAGTAAGCTGACAGATTGTTGCCAAYTGTTTAGGTGGGAAGAGTGGGAATAACAGTTCATCCCTCTCTTAAGACACTCACTRTTGCTGAGGGCAGATATGTGAATAGATTTTGCATCACAACATAAGTGATACCTTAGATCTGTGCATTATAAAAGCAGAAGATGCAGCCGTTCTGCACTGATTGGGATTGGGGTGTGGGGGCTTTTGGTGAAGGCTTCTCCAGTGAAAAGCATCATTTCACCAAAGAATTCACCTTTCAAGGAGAAAAAAAAAATGCACATGGAGTGTCTACAAAGATGTAACCATAAAACCACATCCTAATAACGCCGGCTGGGTAAAATCATAAAGTCTTCAATCTGAGAGGATTAACTCAACATCAAAACTATAGTTTAATATACTGTAGAAAGAAAAAGAGGAGAACAAATAGAACAGAACTAATATAATAGAGCTATTTGCTTAGTACCAACTCGGTTTTCCTACTATTTTTATCACATTTTTCTCTTTTCTGCCTTCTTCACCTTTGTTCTTACTCAGTCCACATTCTGTCTACCCCTTCTGGATAAGATTCTACCCCTTTCCCATCTACTCATTCACAAAGATCATTTCCTTGAAGATCTCACATAAAGGAGATTTTTCATGAACAGTTCCCTAATTAACTGCAGAATCAAATGCTTTCTTGCTTCATAATGGTTTTATAAAATTTGTGCTATTTTATCTTTATCTCACACACACTCACACACACACACACACACACACACACACATACACATATACATTTATGAAAAGCCATATATTTTATTACATATAAATATATGGATTTTCAGCTTGAATCTTTTGTTTTGTGATCATTTCCTTTAAAAAAGCATAGAAATGTTGTAGAATGTTTTGGTTGTTTTTCAAATACTATTTAAGATTTTAATGCACACTTGGCAAGTATTTCATCAGTAATGGGAATCTAGGGGATACTTGATTATTTTCTAAAAATTATTTAGGATAATTCTTTAAAAGCTTGAGCATTTAATTATGCATGTTTTTAAATTTATAATTTTTTTTCTTCAAAACGAGTTTTTTCCATGTAAATAATAGAAGTGTACCTTATGTAATACTATTAATCAACAAATTGCTGCTTAGTTAATTTTATTTTTTGTCAGGTTTCCATTCAAAGTCATATTTTTTTCATGAGGAAAAACACAGTCTAAACATATTATGGTATCAAAATTAGCATGAATAAAATATATTGAAATTATATTTTCATCAGAGGAGTGTAAATTGTTTCAAAAGGCAGGAGTGGGGGAGAGCATAACCAAGCCATTTTACACAAAGGCAAGTGACAAACCAGGCAAGCAGTCCCCATCCAACAATGTAACAAGACAATACGCTATCTTATAAAGCCTCAAAGGCAGCAGGATTATAAAGCGCTCAAGAGACGGGGAGGAACATTCATTTAGAACATACTCAATGACACTCCTTAGCTGGGCATTTATAGCCAAATATGTACCAAACAAACATGCTGTTTTTGAAAGGCCAGCCATTGTCTCTGAAATAAGGATTTATTTTCCCAACTTTTATGAAAAGGGTAGAGACTCACCTTTTCATTAAGTAGAACAGAATTTGAAGACATGGGTTAATCAGTTCCTGGTCTTAGATACCAGATGGGCACATTCCCACATAGAGGCATAGGCCATCTTCACCAGTCTCTCAGACATACTCCTGACTAATTAGGTGGATGGCTTATTGACCAGGTGGACCTGGGACAGCTAGGAAGTGGGGGCCTCATGCATATCTCCTTTTTTTCTCTGTCTTGCAACACACACACACACACACACACACACACACACACAGATGTGCACAGAAATCATTTTCAGCGTTTGATCCCATTTTTGTTAAAGAACTGAAACTTTCTTACAATCAATTGATGTAAAACTCTGTGCCATCTTAGTGGTATTTTTTTCTATTGATGAGAGAATTTATACAAATGTAGCATAGAAACTACATTCATCATTTTTATGATAAATTATTTTAGTAGTATAAACAGCTAAAATATTACCACAAAGTGCTATTTTATAATTGATGAGTGCTGTCTATTGTATGTATAGAGTAGGTTTTAGTAAATATCTGCAGTTTGTTTATGAGTATTGGTTTTGAATTGTCAAAATTCATTTTTATAATGCACATTTATCTCATTAAAAACTTGTACAGCAGAGATATTGTGATTGTAAAAAATGTTTCTAAAATTTTAATTTGTAGTTTCAATTTCACTTATAATGGAGTCCTTTGAGTTTGAAACTTTTAAGGCAAACATAATAATTGTATATTGGATATATTTACCAAGTCAAGATAAATAAGTTTTGAGATGAACTGCTCTTGATAATATATAATGTACAATTTAAAAATCTTGTGAATGTCTATAATTTTATTTAGGTGTTGCCACAATACAGTCAGCTTAATGTACCCACAATATTAGATCAGCCGAATTTGATTTCCTAGTACACTTACTCTCCTGCATTTCCTAGCTCACTTTTCTGTTGCACACTCGTGCATGCAAGCACATGTACACAAACGGTGTCGTTTGGGAATATTGAGGTTTCATTCTCGTGATATATTTATGTTTCTGTTTACTTTGTATTTAAATGGAAATTTATAAAAATTGATCATGACTGAGAGTGAACACTCCACTGTTATTATATAATGGCCTGGTTGGTTTTGTTTGCAATTCACATACATCCCTGTTTGATCATGATTACTACTGTAGGTGCCTTTTCTGCCATAGAGACAAACTGTCCTTAGAGCCAAGCAGCTTGTTTCAGGAATGGTGTATGTTTGATTATGCTCTATCAAACTGGTCTGGATATCAGAGGTGAATATGGGACTCCTGATGACTTGATAACAGATACTTCTCTTTTCTTTTTGTCTCTCACAGTTACCCAGCTGTTTGTGAATTCTTGCAGCACAATAACTTGTTATCTATACTCCGAGCCCATGAAGCCCAAGATGCAGGGTAAGCAGACTTGAGGATTTGGGAAAACTGTACATTGCCCCTTTCTGAAAACTTCCTTCTGTGCTCAGGCCCTGTGGATTCCCTTTTGCCAGACTCACTCCCAGACAGAATTAGGTCTTAAAATGGTCACTGACAAGGCAGGTAGGGCAGAGTCCCTGGTGGTAAAGCCCCTTTTAAAGTTCTTCAGCCTTTAGCTTAAACAAGTCAATTTTCAGCTTTTCTAAAGTACTATAAGGCAACCTCCTCCCTTATTTCTCCCACTTCCTACTTTGACCACTGTCTTCTAATTGAGTAAATTACCAGCTATGGTTCAGTCTTGGTTGGTAAGATGAATGAGAATCTCATGTACATATTTAAAATATATTGCATGTTATATTTTTGTTTTAAAGAATGCTATTCCTGATCACTGTAGAGCTCTAAAGGAAAAAAAAAAAACATGTAGGGACATTTAAACAAAGGAAAAACTCATATGTTCTCAGCAAATAATTACATAAAATTGATTTTGTATTGATTGGTAAATTTTAAAATCATAGACCAATTTTCAGAGTTTAGAAAACTAAGAAATGTCAAATATGTTCACTTCAGCAGTTCATTAAATCTACATGAGGAAGAAATTAGAATAACAAATTTAGGATTTGATTTTGAATACCCTTTTCCATTATGCTCCACTGAAAGGCATTGTTTGCTTTTAAATTATTAAATGCATTCGTTCATATTTTCGATATTGGATTTTACAACTTTTCTGAAATTGACAAGGATACCTACATTGTTTCTAAGAAGGCCCCCATCAAGCATGCTCCAGGAACAAAGCAGAAACTTAAGTTCCTTTCAAAGTTAGCTTTTTTTGAAGCGTTTCATCAATAGAGAGAAGAACAGTCAATTATCTTGATAACCATTATACTTTCAAAAAGTTGCCAATATTTTTGACATAAAGTGGTCCAATAAATAGAGCAATATACAAAGACTTGCCACTTATAACCAGGCCACTTTTTCTATAAGTCTTCAGTATTATATGAAGGTTCTATATAAGCATTTTGCTTGGACTGAGTGATTTCTTTTCAAAGAATATCTGATTAAATTTTTGGAAATTTATATCTGATTAAATTTTTGGACATCTGTAGACTGTTTCCATTTTAGAATTTTATTTATTACCAAGCTTTGCTGGTGTCTGCAAGTTAAAGATTATTGTCTCAGCAGGGTAATATTTAATCAATCAGTACTAAAACAGACCAGCTACAAGAACTTTGGAAATAAACCAGCAATCCAGTCACATTTTTCTACTAAAACAAAACTAATTTATAAAATAGCACTCTACTTCTCAAATAATCAGGGCATCTTTTCCATCAGGGCAAAAAAGAATCTCATGAATTCTATGAAATAGATTTAGGGAATACCCACTTAGAAGCATGGCTAGAAAACAAAATTTTATCATTTTATTGGTGTCTCACATTTGTTATTTCTGGTAGATGAACTGTGCCTTATATAGCTTGGTTCTTAAAGTAGTTCAAATAGTACCTTTTGATAGATAGGTAGCCATTTTAAAATTTATAAATTTAAAAAGATTTGTATTTTTTTTCTTTTTGAAACTGTTCAGGTATACTACTTTTCTCTGAAGAAAACAACTAGTAAAATCTTCTTGAAATATTCTAGAAGCATTTTGTTTATGGAACTGAGCTTTGTCAAGGGGAAAAAGATCAGTGTGAAAGACAGTAGTAACACTCTTAATCCTAGCACCTTGACTTTCTATACTGAAGCTGGCTATGTGTACTTGACAACAATAAGAAACAAAAAACTGGATGACATATTCACAATTTCCCCAAGGAGAGATTCATCAATTGCTCATTTTCAATAAAAAGTCCTGTTGATATTAATTGATTCACACAACATATTTTTAAGTAAGCAAATAAACTGTGGTTTTCCACAAAATCCTGTCTTCCCCTGAGGTTTGCTGAATTTAGAACATATCTGTTTGGAAATTATACACGATTGTATGTTTTCATTGTCAATCCTGAAATGGATTATAAGAGACTTCAGAGAGAACATTTTATTTAGTATTATGTAATTGAATCCTTTTTGAAAGATAGAACTTAATTCATTTAAATTTCTATTTCCAAATCTGTAATTTATTATCACCCTTTTTGCACACTAACCCTTTTTTTAACTCATATTTGTTGTTTTTAGGTATCGCATGTACAGGAAAAGCCAAACAACAGGCTTCCCTTCTCTAATTACAATTTTTTCAGCACCAAATTATTTAGATGTATACAATAACAAAGGTAAGACCTTTTTAAACTCTTCTTGCGGTCTTGTATAATATGTGCAATTAATCTTTAACTTGCCTTATTTTGGTTTGGCTTTGGATTTTTAACCATTTATTGTTCTCTTACTTTTTCAATTTTTGTTTGATGCCAATTTTGTGATTACACATGGAGACACATTTGACTAGTGGTGGGGTCCAGGCACTGGTACCTTTAAAATATTTTTCAAGACATTTCTAAAGTCTGTAAAGAATATTAGCTGCTGCTCTGGCAGTTAAAGATATTTTTAAAAAACAATGAGAGGTAATCTAATATCATGGTCCCTAAAAAGGATGTGTATTTGAATGAGAGTAGTGAGATCCTGTGTATAAATGATCAGCAAAAAAAGTGTACAGCTTAAAGAAACTATAGCTTGAAATTCAAGTTCAAATTGTATTTATTGAACACCTACCAAGAGTCCTCTTTCTAGGCAAGTATGGGTTCATTTCTTAAAAAAAAAATTAAAAATAAGTAAAAGTAAGCTCCAAGGTAAATATTATAGCCAAATCTTCCCCTTTTTGATATGCAGAATCAATCCCTGTGGTTAATTGCCTTGCCTGAGGTCACTCATTTAGGAAGTAATGAACTGGGATGAAACCTAACTGTCAAGTTCAGTGACCTGTACTTGCTTTCTGAAATTCCATATTCAGTATGCCTGGAGGTGGTGAGGGGGAACTGGGAAACAAGAGGACATTATTTACTCACTGTGGATAAAAAAAGAAAAAGCAAGGGATCCATTATTACCCTCTTTCATAAAGGTAGTTTCTTAATTTGGAAATCATGGTATTATAGGTATGTCAGGATAGGTGATCAAATGCAGAAGTGACATGACCTCTAGTTGATATTGGTCTGCACATTACATGGGTATCAAGTCTGAGTAGAACTTTCAGAGATTAAGAGAATTGGAGACCAGAAGGGAAAACTCAAATCAACCCATAGTCCAGGAAAAGCAGAAAAAGGCAGTCTGGTTTCTGAGTCAGTCTGAAAACTCCTATAATTAGGAGCCATTCCCATGCATAAGTCAGGTATGATGAATGTCTTCCTGCCTTGTGTCCAGGATGCCTAATAGGGGCTTTCACCTCCAGTATTCCCAAGTGCCTGCTGAGTGTTCTGTCTTTAAGAGGTTGTTGCCTCGATTTCTGGTGTTCCCTTTCCCTGTCTAGTACTTCCCACTTCCTCCTTCTCAGAGATAGACCTTGACCTTCATATATTCGGGAGCTCTCAGGGATCTTCCCACAAAAGGCAAATCTGGTGTAATCACAGTGCTGCCCCACCTCTCCTTCTGTTCCTTACTTCTCCCTCCACACACTTGCTCTTTCCTACAGATGGAGCCTACAACCCTCCCACTCCCTTCCCAAGAGCCCAGAGAGAGACATCTGCTGGATGGAGTTTTCCATCACTGTACAATCTTTTTCATGACTATATTGACAGTTATGGCCCCCTTTTCTGTACTCGGGGGCATAATTATCAGTAGACACAGTGCAGTTTCTGTCACACTTGAGGGTGGCAGGGAGCACAAGACAATTCTAGAAATGAGGTGCTGCCTCTTGTGGCAAGAAGTTTGCAAAGTCAAATAACATGTGTCCTCTGCATGCCATGTGCTTGTAAGGCAGTTGACAAAGCGAGATTTTAGTGGCTTACTAAAAATATAAGACATAACGTGATTTAGCTGAAATCAAGGGACTCAATATGAAATACATTTGACAAGGGGTAATTTTCTGGAATGATCAGAGAAGTCCTTGTTTGAGATAAAATATGACCTGAATCATAAATATTGGCCAGTGTTTGGTGAGAAAGAGGAAAACACAAAGTCAAATCAAGTGATTTTTTTTTTTTTTAAAGCAGCAAATACTTTGTGTATAAAATCAATTCCCAGGATTTTCAGTCTTGCTCTATAGAGGGCACCTGAAGTAGCACCAAGCAGTTTAAGAACTCAGTAGGTCGTATTACACATCCCATCAGGATCCTGTAATTTATCTTAGGTGTGTAAAATATGAACACAAGTTTTTATTATTCTATGTCATTTAAACTTTGTTCTATTAAACCTAGAGAAAGGAACACCCAAAAAGTTATGTTCTTTTCAGAGACTGATTGCTAAGTTGCACGTACAAACAAGGTTTCTAGCAATTAAACAAAAATAGAATAATAAAAATTAAAATGGGATTTTATTCCATAAGAATGGTCTTGCCTCTTTTTGTTATTTCTAATTGTAGGTAATATGATTTTTGTTAAGACTAAAACCACTTGTCACATATGGTGTATGTTACTTCTTTGTATATGGTTCTGAGATAACAAGGTAGGAACTTGAAAACACATGTGTTTTTAAACACACACACACACACACACACACACACAGGTATCAGGGCACAGCTATCTTTGAGACTGTGTTGTTCTTTTATTCTTTCCTCTTGCCTTAGGGTAGAGCAGTCTTTTAGGAACGAGATAGAAGTGTTTCATTTGGGGAACCTTTTCATAAAACAAGAAATTCTCCCAAGAGAAAAGGATAAACTGATAGGAAAAAGAAAGACATATTCTTCAGTTAGAACATAATTTCAAAAGACTTTTGTGTAAATTTTCTGAAGCACTTTAAAGCTATTATGCTAACAGTGTGTACAGTATCTGGGAGTGGGAGTCAATTATTCACAGCTAAAGTGAAGATTATTCTTTTTGAATAAAATCAGTGTTAACTAGAATATTAAAAGGCAGTGCAATGAAATTGGGTTGTGAGATCCTCCAAAATACAATTAATAGAAAAATAACACTGAAGAATCTCTGAGTTGAACATCTGATTCTTAGAGATGGATGACCATAAAGGATTCTGGAATTATAACCCAATAGTTATGTTATGGTTTGATTTGTAAAGCTCCTGCAGATTAAGACACCAGTGACTCTGAAAAAATAAAAGTATATTTGTTCTGCCATCTTAATTAAAAAGAGTAATAGTTGTGATCAAATGTGTATTTATATATCCAATAGTTCTGATTAGTGCTCCTTAATGGCTTATAGCTAATAAGAAATGCTTGGAAAGTGAGGACTGAGTGTTCCATCTCTTGGTGAAGCCCACATTAATTCTGTCAGCTCTTATCCTTTGCAGTCTGCCGTAACATAATTGTTTTCTCACTGGTCTCCCTGCTTCTGTTTCCTCACGCTGACAACTGCAAGATGCCAGGGCAAAAGATGTAGGTTTGAATCGCATTAAACAAATAACTCRTTCAGATTTATTGGATGTGCAGTGCTATCTCTGTAAAATGAGGGAAAAATTTTCTTTTTTGACTAATACATGGAATTGCTTTGAAACAAAGTGCTGTGCAATATTAAGATATTATCATCATTGAATATGTTAGGTTATTATTATGCCACATGTTAGTTCAGGGCTTCACAAAAGCTGCCAGGAAAAGGCTGCTTCTCTTCAGCTTTTTACTTATCATTTCACTATATATTATTTTACCTACCTTATGACCTCCCTCTTCACTTCTGAGTGAACCCTTTTCTGTAGCCAACTTGTTCTTCTCATTTCCCTCAACAACTTTTGACTTTCCATCTCTCCACACCTTGGCCCCCATACTTCTCTCCATCTAAAATGCTTGACTTGCACCCTGCCCATCTAGGTAGATTAGACCCTTTCCATCTCTGTTTCCATGAAGACCCCCTTTGAATGTTTTCAATGCCAGTCATTTTTTTCTTATACATATCATACATTTTTAGTTAGCTTTCCCATAAATTTCAGTTACATGCCAATCATTTATTTATTTTTTATTTGAAATATGAAGCTTTTGAATTAACATTGTACATGGTACATTGACATTGTGAAGCCAGACTGCATACATTGTACCTGGTAGGCAGTCGATACATGAATCAATTGGAGCATTTTTCTTCTAGGAATTAATAGAAGACAGTGCCCAATAAGTGCCCTATCAATATTGACCCAGAGATTTTTTTTTATCTCACTTGAAATTATTGCCGTAATCAGTGCCAATGCCCTTTCCAAATTGGAGTTAAACATTTGCAGAGCACTTTGTGCATTTGAATTGTTTTTCTTCTGTGAATCTGATCCCTAAAGGAAAAGTTATTTCCTGATTCTTTAAATATACTAGATGAAAAATGAAGTAATGAAACATAGTTTTCATTTTTTTCTTCATAATTTGCCTCCTGGAAATATGGCTTCCACCATATCCATACACCAATACAACAAACTTTTACCAAAAACTTGGTATACATCAAGCACCATGCTAGGTGTTGGGGATATAATTTAAACATGCAGACATGGTCTTTGCCCCAGTGTGCTTTATAATCTTGCAATGTGATAGATATTAAGTAAATAATTCAACCAATCAATGTTAAAGAATATTTGGAAAATGCTACAAAGAAATGAGTAGTATTTGGAAATTAGTCTATGGGAACAGAAGAGCTTAACTGAGAAAGTGAAATTTAAGAGTACAATCACTTAGAATTCAGAAATACTGTGGCATATGTAAACACTGCTTTAAAATTTTTAGTTTGTACAAATACTCTAATGAACCTCTGGAAAAATGTGTTTTACACCTGATTAAAAAAAAGAGCAGGTCCTTTTTCTCTCTACAGAAACACCTGTGCTTCAAATGAATCTAAGTTAGATTGCATAGGATTTCCATGTGGGTCAAGTTTTCTATAATTCATATGAGTTCTTGGGTAGGTGGGTGAGTGGGTGAGCTAATAGATATATAGAATATATTTAGATAAATGTAATCATATATACCAGAGGTTTAAAACTATTTCAGGTACTGACAGTAAAATTAAGGAAATTTATTAAATGAAACATTTTGGGTTGAGAGGAAAATATAAATAGCAACCAAACTAATATAGCAATCAAGACCAGAGATTAAAATGACAGCCAAGGGAATAAATGAATTTAATATTAAAGTACTTGGGAAGAGAGAGATGGAAAATTGGATTTAGAAGATGGAAAAGAAGAATATCATTTACTATAATTTTAACATGCA